CACGAATAAACGTACTTCCAAATTTCGGTAAATACAAAAATCCCACATAACACTTAAGTCTAATGAAACATACTAGAGGCTAACTGAGATCAACAAAAATCCAAAAGTAGACATGTCATAAGCAGATGAGCTATTTTGATCCTTCCTTTTTTTTTTCTTTCTATTCTACTTGTGCAAACTGGGAAATCATAAGACTATGTATGTGACCGATCATTAAGGAGGGGCTGAGGCTGAAAAAGTGATGAGCAAGATCCAGAACATAAAAAAAAAGAGCTTGTACACAGTATTATACTCATATACCCCAGTTTTTACAGGAGAATGAATAGAGGAAAGCTTTCAAAACTGACCTCCTTAATCTGCTGCAGAGGCCACTGTCACAGGGTGACCCATAAACATGCTTTTGTCCCTCCTTACCATTCCCTCTATCACCGCCCTAGCCTGGTCTCCCTGCCTCTAGACCTTACCAACCCTAGTAAATACTGCAATCTCAATATATACCAAATAAATCTTCATAAAATATCATTTAATCCTGTCGGCCAACAAGATGTAAGGTTGTCACAAAATCAGATGGCTAGTCTCTTAACTTTTCCGAACTTTCTACCATTACAAGACCCACACAAACCCTCCTAAGACTAACTCCAACTAATCTATTCATTCTACTACCACCATCTCAAATTCATTCTGCCTCTGCACCTTTGTCCATTCTGAATACCAGTCTTAAAAAAAACTTCCCTCTTCCCGGCCTCCCCGGTGGCGCAGCGGTTGAGCGCTGGGTTGCGAAGCTGCCCGCGGCCTCTGCGGCGCCGTTTCGATCCCCGGCTGCTCCCCGGCCACCAGAGGAGGGTCCCGCATGGCGCGCGGACCTCTTCTGCCGCCCGCTGCTCCCCTCAGCAGTGTGCTTCGGTCCTTCTGCCTGCTCTGCTCCCCGCTCTGGCTCTGGTGAATTCTCTCACCCTCCTGTGCTTCTGACTGTACCCAGTGCTTGTATAAACAAAAAACAAACAAACAAATAAATAAATAAAAATAATAATATAAAAAAAAAAAAAAAAAAACTTCCCTCTTCCTCTGCCTTAATAATTATGCTGCATATCCCTCATTAAGCCTTAGGCTATTCTGAGGTACCACTTGAACTGTTTTATATCTTTATTTGGTTAAGGACCTTCTTCCCAGAGGGCAGGGAACATGGGTCATACTGCAAAAAGTCAAGCCCCAGATCAGAGGTTGCAAAGTAGCAACCCACAAGGCAATTGCTAACCACAGTGGTGGTTTGTTTGGCCCACAGTGTTTATATTATGAATTCATAAGTTAAAACATTTAAAGATTTCTCACAAAATCTGGATTTCCAGCTTCTCTTATAAAGTTAAGATGTTAGGGTCACATTCAGTTTATACACATACCCTCCCACCCCAATCTCCTAGTACAATGGTGAGCAAACACCAAATAGGATATTTCAAAATGGTAAATTTTTATCTCATTTTAAAAAAAGTGAATTCAGGGGCCTCCCTGGTGGCATAGGGGGTTGAGCACCGCACTGTGAAGCAATCCGCAGTCTCTGCAGAATGAGTTCAATCCCTGGAGGGCCAGGGAGCAGCCCACATGGCACAACAGACCTCTCCTGACTCGCCCACTGCTCCCCTCAGCAGTGTACTTAGATCAGTCTGCCTGTTCTGTTCCCCACTCCATCTCTGGTGGATCCTCTCACCCCCTGCATCTCTGGCTTGTACCCCAGCTCTTGTATGCATAAATAAATAAATCTTTTAAAAAAAGGTGACTTCAGGCCACTGACTGGTCACTGAACTTACAAGTGTAGACAGTATGCTACATAAGGGCCAAATTTTTGCTACCACCATAAGGGTCTCTGGCACAATGAGTGAAGTTTATCATAATCCTTGCTACAAGTACAAAAAAATAAGATGAGTCAAAGCTGCTTAAAAGGGACATAAATTGTCTAGTTCATTTAAGTACCAATCTGACTATTGTTGCTACTTAAAATGTTCACCTAGCACTTGTAGGCATTTGAATTTACGTTTACCAGAGATAAATTTTACTGATTAATGAATTGAGATAATTTTTAAAAAGACAAGGTTGGTGGTAATGATAATGACAACAATAACAGTAATAGCAATAGCAATTAACACGTCATGCTTATTGTAAGCCAAGCACTATCCGTGCAAAAACACATTATCTCATTTAATCTACCCAATAATCCAATGATATACACTACTAATATTCTCAAACCCATGGGTGAAGAAACAGAAACAAAGGAATTAAGCTACTTGGTCAAGTTCATACTACCAGTAGATGGTAGAAGCAAAATTCAAGTTCAGATAGTCTAATTCCAATACATACTTTCAACCCCTACAATGATTCCTTGAGACTATTATACTTTCCTCTGTGACCAAATGATTATCCAGAACAAAGAATCAAGACTAAATTTTAGAACCTTTCTTAGCATGAATGACTAAGAAGCAAACCAAAGTTCACCTAAACACAGATGGCATTTCTGGATTCTTTCCTTGTCTTTAGAAGAAATTTTTTTCTGTAATTGACAAGAGAAAATGTTACAGAATCTAACAAAATAATGTTTTCTCAGAAAGCAAGAATGTTAATAGACATTTCTGGAGTGAGGAAGTTTAATATGCAGATGAATTCTGTTTAAAGCTACAAAATGATGATACAGCATAAACCACCTCTTTCCTAGGATGGAAGGGCAAATCTCTTAAGGTAAATAGTGACCAGATGTGAGAAATTTGCAAGTTTCTTGAGGACAGGTACTGATTTTTCATCATGAGTCACTGTAATGCTGAGCACAGAACAACACATAGCTTGGATTCAATTATGTTAAAGAAACCAAAAAATAAGAAGTTAGTATCTCAAATCTCTCTGCCAAAGTTTAAAGTAGAACTTAAATTAAAATGGCCTCTAGGGTCTCCCTGGTGGTGCAAGGGGTTAAACACAGCACTATGAAGCAATCCGCAGCCTCTGCAGCACAAATTCGATCCCCGGCCAGCCAGGGAGATACCCACATGGGGCAGCAGACCTCTCCTGTCTCCCCTCAGCACTGTATTTCAGTCAATCTGCCTGTTCTGTTCCCCACTCTGTCTCTGGTGGATCCTCCCACCCCCTGCATCTCTGACCTGGCCTGTATCCCAGCTCTTGAATGCATAAATAAATAAATCTTTAAAAAAATAAATAAACAAAGCACTGGATATTATGAAGTCCTATTTAGAAGGTATTTCTGAGACCAGTCCTATTTGTAGTATCAACAAAGCCCTGAAAAATTAGTGAGCCAGTATATAAAACACAAAGTATAATCAAAGAGTGAGCTAGAAGAAACCTGAGATCACAATGTTCAATACTTTCAATAGACAATTGAGGAAATGGAAGCCTAAAGGGATTTAAGTGAATTGCTCAAGATTACAGAATTTAAGTAACAAGCATTATCAAGGCTAGAACCCAGGTTTCTTGAATGTTGGCCCAGTTTTCCTTCCACAAAGAACTACTTTGAGTTTAGGATGAAGTGGATACTTTAGAAATATTTAACGATATTCAATATAGAGAATGACCTTTCCCAGCACATAGGTTTTTGTAAGGTATTACATCTCCATTAAAGAAATGATGGCTGTGTTGTTCCTATTTTGCAGATCAAAACCTCCCCATTTTGCCTCCTTTTTTTGCTTTACATATTTTCATTTTCTTGCCTTTCCTTGCATAACAATTTCTTCCTCTTACTCTCTCTTCCTCTTACTAGCTCCTTCCCCTCTACCCACTTTCCTAGTATCTCTCACAAAGCACCCCATTATCTCCTTCCTTTCTTCACATAATTATTAAAAAAAACAGATTAAAGCACATTTGATTATAGTACGAGCCTAGGAAACCATAATAAGCAAATCATAGCCTTGGTATATAAGCATTTATAGGACAATTAGCTAACAAAAACATAAACTATTTATTACCATTAGTACTGATAAACGATTATGTTCAGAACCCCAACACACACACACCCATTATACACAGTCTTTTCCCCCACAAAGAATGTCTGAACAAATAACAGCTGAAATCTCAGGGGAAGGAGGGGAAGAGGATATAAATATACAAAGAGTCACATAGATGAATGAATAATAAACTCTGAAGTTTACAGTGGAGACAAGACTCTAAGTATGGACAGGACATTTAGGTAAAGGAAGGTGGTAATGATAATGACAAATAGTTGCAAGGTTAGGGTTAGGCAAATGAAAGGAGCTGTGCCCTTGCTGTTCAGCTTTCTTAGCTACCAATTCACCTACTCTACTTCATTCACTCCCTATTCTCTTACTATTTGATTTTTTTCTATGTTCTGCTTTTTGTTTTCTTCTTCATTAGTCTTTTGTTTCTTCTGATCTTTTAAGGTAAGTGTGTCCTATCCTGTTTACTTTTTCAGTATTATTGCCAACTTCTGCAACCCTGCAGATCTAACGTCTAAAGCAGAGAATTCATTTTTTCCCTAAAGATTGAATATGTATTATTTTACTTGAGCCTCACAACACTACTAGGGAGGCAGGTAGGAGGTATATAAATTGAGGCCCACCGAGATTAAAGACCTTGCTGTAAGGCACAGAGTTGTCAGTGGCAAAATCAAATCAGAACCCAGATTTTTTTCTTCGAAGTCTTCTACTCTTTTTCCATTGTACCATGTTGCCTTCTTTTAAATTCCTACACTTTTAACCATAAACATACACATGTCTGGACAAGTATACAGAGACAGATGTTTGTAAGGAAGCTAGGAAAAAAACAGAAAAGTCAGAGGATACTACTTAAGGGCACAGTGTGGCTCACAGTTTAATTCTTACAGAGGAGGCTTTGGGTTTCAGATCCAAGTGGAAATTGCCTATTTCTTCAACCCACTTATGTAGACGGCATCAACATTGCTCTCTCCCAATCTCACAGCAGTTATACAATCGGGGTTCACCATATGCACCATTCCTGCCCCTTCAATCTCTCTCACAGGCATGCCACCATACCTGAAGTTCTGACTGTTCAAGTCACTTCTTTGGGTTAAGGCGTTGTCTCCAGAAGGCCACTGTTAAATGCATGTTCCCTGAAAGAGGAAGGAGGATCCATTAACACATTACTCCTGTGGTTAAACACACTGGATTATCAATGGCCTTGGGAATCTGACTGCACAGCTTCATAGGATAGATCATTTTTGATGCAGCAGGGAAGAGAATGAGATGAGTTAAGGGGGAAATGACACTTATAGTACGGAGTAATGTCACACCTGGGTGTGATGGCCACATGACAAAATGAGGATGGTCATTTAAACATATGCTCCACCTATTAGGGTCACTATAAGAAGGGCAGTCCTTGCAACTTGGAGGCTCTGAAGGATAGGAAAAGAAAAAGCACTCCAAGGATCTAAGTATAGTCAGTTCTGAAAAGAGCTGAGCAGGCAGCAGTTTTCCAAGGACAGTGAACTGTTATACTGAAGGGAGATGGAGGCCCTCTTGTTAACTACTTCTAGTTGTCAGCTAGCTTCAACCCAATATTTTTAGCTGAGGGCCAACCACCCAACCAGAGAATGCTGCAATTCAATTTTGCAAACCCCTTGCTAATTTATATTGACTCAAAGCCAATATAATTTATGGCCACAAAATTCAACAAGCCTTTACTGAACACTTATTATGAACCCAGAATTTGGCTAGGTGCTACATAAATACAGAAAAATAAATAAATTTATGCGCTTTTGCCTTTGCCTTAACTCATAAAGGAAACCAGTCCCCAAAGCCCATAATTGAGAAAGGGATGAGGCACAAGAAAACAGAAAAAAAACAAACAAGTAATTACCTCCTACCAGTACTAACACGAATTTTTTTTTTTTAAAGATTTATCTATTTATTTATGCATACAAGAGCTGGAGCACAAGCTAGAGGTGAGGGAGGTGAGAGGATTCACCAGACACAGAGTGAGGAACAGAACAGGCAGACTGACTAAAATACACTGCTGAGGGGAGCAGTGGGCGAGGCAGGAGAGGTCTGCTGCACCATGTGGGTTGATCCTTTGCCGGCCTGGGATCCAACTCATGCTGCAGGGGCTGTGGATTGTTTCACAGTGCTGTGCTTAACCCCTTATGCCACCAGGGAGGCCCCTAACACAGATTTCTTAAGCCAAATTTCTTAAATTTCTTAAGCAAGTTAACAAAACTTGCTTAAAGGTCAAAGTTCCTTGTTAAACTCTTGCTTAAAGAGTCAAGAGAGAGGCCTCCCCTGGTGACGCAGCTGTTGAGCACTAGGCTGCAAAGCTGCCCATAGCCTCTGCAGCACCAGTTCAATCCCCGGCAACCACCGAGGGTCCCACGTGGTGTGTGCAAACCTCTCCTGCTGCCCGCTGCTCCCCTCAGCAGTGTACTTTGGTCCTTCTGCCTGCTCTGCTCCCCGCTCTGGCTCTGGTGAATTCTCTCACCCTCCCGCACTTCTAACTGTACCCAGTGCTTGTATAAATAAATAAATAAATCTTTAAAAAATAAAAAAAGAGTCAAGAGAGGCAGGCTAGAAATACCTTTTTCTGCCTTTTGGTCTAATACCAAAGCTGTTTTAATGGCACACATTCATCTTGGTAAACCAATGAAAACTACTCTAAAAGTTACAAAACTTACTTCTAGCTCTCTGATTCTTAGCTAGTTTTAGGTTAATTATTTAAGTTGCTTAGGACTTTCTCTTTTTTTTTTTAACAAACAGAAAACCAAGAGGTTGGACTACTCTAAGAATAGCACATATCTAGCACATATACTATACCTCTAAGTAACTGTCCACAGGCGGCATCACTAAGCAATCATAACTCACTTTCTTAGAGAACCATATGATCAAAATCCTTCTCAACACAGTGCTTCTAGGCAAATACTTAAAAGCACAACTGGCCCATAAATCAAAATATATTTAATGCTATGGACTAGATAATCTCTTCTAACTCTAAAATTCCAATACCAAGTTTCTGAAGAAGGGAGAAAAACTACTACACAAGTATAAATCAAAAGTTGATAGTCATTATAAAAAGTTCAGTCTAGGGCCTCCCTGGTGGCACAAAGGGTTAAGACGCAACCTATGAAGCTGTCTGCAACCTCTGCAGCACAAGTTCCATCCCCAGCAGGCCAGGGAGCTACCCACGTGGTGCAGCGGACCTCTATTGACTCGCCCACTGCTCCCCTCAGCACTGTACTTCCGTCAATCTGCCTGTTCTGTTCCCCACTCTGTCTCTGGTGAATCCACTCACCGCCCCCGCACCTCTGGCCTGTACCCCAGCTCTTGTATGCATAAATAAATCTTAAAAAAAATAAAAAGTTCAGCCTAATGTCTAAGTCCTTCAAATTGCACCTGATTTAATTCTAATTAAAGATGCTAACTGATAATATACTCTATGCCATTAACATATATAACCTGGAGATATTATTCAGATTTGCTAATTGGTTCTTTTAACAGAAAAGGAGACTTTTACTCAGACTGGTCCTAAAAAATTCACATCCAAAAACAGGGCAACAATATTACACTAGTAAAGAACTAAAACGCAATCACTTGATCATCCCCATAGAGTCTCTCCAGGATCAAGCTTTTTCATCTCACCTAGACCCTCTACCAAGTCACCAGAGCAATTTATTGTAAAACACACATATATTCATTATCACTTCCCTGTTTAAAAATCTCTATTTGATGCTGATAACATAAAACTCAAACTTTTTAGCATTATACTTAGAACTTTCTTATAGCTGTCTCCCTTTATCTTTGCAGCCTCACCTCCCAGAAGGCTCCCTAAATCCTTTCTCTTCCACAATCCTCTGTATTAATACAGAGCATTAAGGTGTTCCCTCTACCCAATCTTTCCTTTTTTCCACCTCTATGACATTCATCATCTAAGCCCCAACTCATCCAAGGGCAGATCTTGCTCTTCTGGCCAACCGTTCTCAGACAGAACTGGTCATGTCCTCTTCTGTCTGAAAGCTATCTGAAACTGTTCACAGTACTGTTTGCCTTGGTGACTCCAAGACCATCAGAATTGCCTGAGGCATGTTTTAAAAATAATTTCTTAGGACCAGAAGAAAGCTACTAAATGAGTATCAGAAAATGAGACACTATATTTTCTACTTTTAAAAAAGTTCCCCTAATTATTCTAATAGTCAAATTTGGGGACTTGTTTGTCTCTTCCAATAGATGCAAAGAAGTGTATTCCTTAAAGAATGTAGAAGTGACCTGTTCCACAACACACTGAAGAAGTATTCTGTTTTTTTTTTTTAATTTCATATCATATCTTTGTTGACTCATATAGTAAAGATGAAGGAATTCCTTTTCCATACTACAATAAAAATTACATTCACTGCATTTCAGCTGCATTTCCATCTTCATTTCTAAATCTTAACATGAAGTGATTGTATCTTGAGTAAACCTATGAACACAAACTACAGGCTCTCACCACATCTGCCACGTCAATTTTATTTCAGTTGAGAAACAAATCCTTAGTCGATTTTGAGGGTGGCAATACGATGCTTTCACATACTTCCTTATAATCGAGTTATATTAGGAAAAGATGCGGGAGAACCCACGTTAAGTGCACTGATGGTGGCTAGCTCTAGTTTCTCATTAACTCTCAGAGAAAAATTCCACGCTTCCTTTCCCACCCCTAGCTCCCAAAGTACACTGAAGCCGTAGAACGGCAGAAAAATGTAACAAGATTACGAATAGCAGCAAGAAAACAAGTTGAACCTTTATTCGGGAATCGCACACTTCGGGTAGTTTGCAAGTTCACCTGGTTACATCTCTAACTTTAGGCCCAACGCCTACCTCCGGCGCACAGACCACAGCTGTGTTTACCGCTCCCGAAACTAAGTCTGAAAACTTGAGATCCCCACTTAGCCCCCAGGAAGTCACGTCCTCACCATGCTTCGACCCTTAGAACACAGTCACGGTTTCCCCCTCCCCACCCCCTCTTCTCTGCTACAGGAAAGGGCACTCTCCCCAACAAGGACGGTGACAGCTCCACGTCTGCAAAACTCGGCTCCGGAGGCGCCGGCGGGGCCGCGGTGGCGGCGGGCGCCAAGGAGGGCGGCCGGGCCGGGACCACCACGCTGGGGACAATGGAGGGAGGAGGAGAGCGGAACAGAGAGAAGGAGGCGGCCACCGTGCTGGGCCCCCCTCCTCGCGACTCAGGGATTCCAAAAGTCTCGGAAAGGCCGGCCGGGTGGCAGGTGGGCCCGGCCGCCGCCCCGCACAGGGCCACGTCGCCCGCCCGGCCGCCGCCGCCCGGCCCGCGAGTAGGCCGGGCCGCGCGGAGCCCCTGGGCGGGGCAGAGGGTCTCGCGCCCGGACCCTGCCGGCGCCCGCCACGGCCCAGCCCCCTCACTACTTGGCGCCCGCGAGGCGAGGGCCGCCGGCCACCTCGGCCCGACAGCGGCCCCTCCGCGCGGCCGGCGGACCCACGCCCCGCCCGCCCCTGGACATGGCCCGAGCCCCGAGTCCCCCACGGGCACCAGCTCTGAGGGCAGAGGGCGCAGCCGCGGCTCTGGGGTCCCGACTCGCGCGCCGCACTCCGCCGCCTCCTGCTCGGACACGCTCATCCGGGCTCTCCATTTCTCCCCAGAACTGCCCCCAGTCGGCCCACGGGTGTTTACCGGGACTCGGGGCGGCGGCGACTCTCCAGTCCCTCGACTAAGATGGCAGCCGCTCCCGAGTTCCGAGCACAGCAACTACGGCGAGTTGGCGGCCAACGCGCAGGCGCCTCCGCTTGGGCGTGAACCGCACTACAAGCCCCAGAAAGCCTTGCGCGCGAGGCGGCCGCCTGGCTTTGGGGCTGAAGAGGACTGAGGAGGGATAAAAAAAAGTCTGAGTTTGTTTGCCACGGGGTGGGAGGCGTTCGTGGATGGCCCCCAGCGGCTCTAGGCTTTTCTTTTTTAAATCCTAACCCTTTCACATGCACACAAACACTGAAACCTCTAAGGTCTGTTGCTGCGGTTCCCAGCGCTGGTGTGCCCGTGAGAGTCAACTGAAGGACTTGCTTATAACTTAAGACTGTTGGGCACCACCCTCAGAATTTCTAATTCAGCAGATCTGGTGTGGGATCTAATAATTTGCATTTCTAACAAACTCTCTGGGGTGCCGCTGGTGGAGGCTCATACTTTGAGAACCATCGTATTACAGCTTAGTCCTTAAAGTACCCTCCGGAGTTAAACTGATTTGGTACAAATCCTCTTCTTAACAGGGTGCTTTGAGGGATGATGAAGATATTGTACACGTAGGCGGTGCCAATGTGGCAGGTGTTCTAAGAGACGATCAATAAATTTCTTTAATCCTCACAACAAACTTGTGAGGAAAGTACCTTCATTATGCTCATTTTACAGATGCATAAGCCAAAGTCACAAATTGGCTGAGAACCCAGATAGTCTGACTTCAGAGTCCACTCTCTTAACTTCCTTCATGGGCTGTTTGTGAGGATAAGCTGTGCAGTAGACTCAAAAATAAACAAAGTGCTTATTAGTAAGTGACCTTTGCTATTATTGTTTAGCCTATTTCCTCCTAATGAAAATAATATTTTATCTTCTGGAAAGTCACTTACACTTTGCAAAGTACTTTCAATTTCTCCATGTCAATGTTTCCTGCAACATGCCTTAGAGAACTTCTTCAAGATACGAAATCCTGGACCCTACCTCGTTCTGATTTTCTAGCGCAGTGAATTTCAAATTTAGTAACTATCAGAATCACCCGGAGCGTCTGTCAACAATAGATTACTGGGCACCAGGTGCGGAGTTTCAATAGGTCTGGGGTGTGACCTCAGAATTTGCATTTTTTACCACAGACCACACATATTTGGAGAATCATTACTGTATGTCAGTGTTTCACAACCTTTTTTTAACCCTCTCTCTGGGCAACATTTTAAGACCTTTTTTTGCCCATTCCCTAATCACTCCCCCATCAATTAGTATCACAAATATATATCTATTTACATACCATATGTGTATCTGTGCTTTTACAATAAAAAGTTTTAAAAATTCCTCTCTATCCCAACCATTGTCCTCTTAGGACAAATGTTTTGGGAAATGTGGGTTTTAAACTAGTGACCCATGTGATTCTTGTCACCAGGCAAGTTTGGAAAACACGGTGTCCCTTTAAGGTACTTAAGCTTTTTTATGACCTTTATATAGGGAAGGAAATGAATCTCAGGGAAATCAGAGGACTAGTTCCGGATCACTCAGCCAGGAATCAGGGATCCAATCAAAGTCCTCTGATTCTAGATTCATGTACGATTTAAAAACTATATAATATTAGGCAAAACTCATCTACAGTGTTTGTAGTCAGGATAGTGGTTACCCTTTGAGGGGAGATAGTACCAAGACAGAGACATAAAAGGGCATCTCAAGGCCACTATAATGCCTGTATTTTGATCTGGGTGCTGTTATACAGGGATGTTCACTTTGAGAAAATTCCTCAAGCTGTATGTAGTACTTGTGATTTGTGTATTTTTCTGTGCTTACATAAGTTTACTTAAAACAAATTGTTCCAAACTGATAGCACTTTCTATCAATACTACACACCAAAAAGTCTCAAACTGTACAGTACAACAGAATCACCAGCAGCACTTATTAAAACTCAGATTGCCAGGTATCTCCCCCAACCCCAGAATTTCTGAGTCAAGAAGTTTTGAAATCAGATCCAAGATTTTGTATTTCTAACAAGATCCCTATGATATTGGTACCCAGGGATCCTGTTTTGAGAACCACGGGACCATACCTTCATAACCTCCTTGCTAATGTCACCAGGGTGGATAAGTTCTGATCTAGGAGGCAGTGCTTAGTAGGAGTTAATAATTTAGGATTCTTCAGTGGTATTTGATTCAAGGATCTAGGTCTGACTGTCAACACTGGCTTCAGGGTCATAGGCAAGTCCCCTGAACCTCAAGTGTCCAAATTTCTAAATGGAACTAGTACAGTCTACTGCTTAGAATGTTGTGAAGATTCTAGAAACCTCAGGATAGTTAATTGGTGCTTCTCCTAGGAAAGTCTGAACTTGTGAGGGCAAAGAATCCCAAACTGACCATTTCCTCATCTCCCATGCTATGTAGTTCTAGCTTGCAGGTTCCCTGCTCCTATAGTCTTGTCCTGGTCAGAATGCAGGACTGGTGGCTGATATAACTTCCAAACTACCTATCCTCCTTCTGCTTGGGTACTCAGGTCAACCTGGGACAGGATCCAGTCCTTCTAGAGCAGGGGCAGGAATCCTGGAGGAGGCCCCCATCAGCAAGAAATCCCATCAGCAAGAAAGGAGGCTCCCAGTTCTCTGGGGAGAGAAGGAGGGAAGAGGCAGGGATGCAGAGCTGGAAGAAGTTGGGAAGAGAAAACCCAGCTGCCCACATGCTGCCTGTCACTTACTGATTTCCCTGCAGAACACTTAGTCACGATGCTATCCCCCTCTTTCCTGGAGTCACTCTGCATTCAACTGCCAGAAGCAGGGGAAGACTTGAAAAGTGGCAAAGCTGTGCATTGTTGGAGAGAGGACACTGGATGGGGCTGCGGGGAGCCTACCATCTGGATCCAAAGAAAACACTTTTAGAGGTCATGCTCTTTTTCCTCATGGGCAAAACGCAGGACACAAGTTCCCTTCCTAGTCACCTCAGTCACTTCCTCATAGGTAGGGTTGTCAGATTTAGGGGGGAAAGAAGAATTTCAGATAAAATGACTAATTTTCAGTATAAATATGTAACAAATATTGCCTGTATCATCCTTAAACTGTTTTTTTTCCCATTATTTACCAAAAATTCAAATTTAACTGGAAATCCTATATCTTATTTGGCAAACCTACTCCCAGGGTTTTAAAAATACATTAAGATATGTGCAGTACCTTAATAGGAAAAATAACAACTAATATTTACTTTTTACATTGTAATTAACAAATAGTATCCTAAAAAAAACAACAAATAGTATCCTGAGTGTTTTACATGCATTATGAATACTCTCAGCAATCTTATCTATAAAATAGGAATAAAAATAAACTATATATGTAGTTTTAGAATATATATATGTGTGTATATATATGTGTGTATGTGTGTATATTTATGTGTATATATGTATATACATATATACACACACATACACACACACACACACATATATATATATATATATATATATACACACACACACAATCATGGGGTGTTGTAAGGATTAAATGAGCTAGTCCATGTGATACACTTAGAAAAGTGTCAGGCAAGCATTCTGTGAAAACTCTTAATAAACAATAGCTATAGTATGTCCCATTATGCATTTGGGGAGACTGAGACTTAGAGAGGCAAGTAACCAGCCAGTGTCCACATATCTAGCAAGTGGCAGAATCAGGATTTGAATTCAGGTCCAAAACATTGGCAATCAATTCAAAATATTTAAAACTCCTGTAAGCGCCACCAACAGGAAAATACAAATAATGATTAATTCATCCATATGATGAAATACTAAAAAACAGTAAGAAAGAACAAGTTACTAACACACAAAATAAAACATAAGTTTCAGGCATGTTGCTATAAAGAAGGAGTTTTATATACAAAAGAATACACTCTGTGTGATTCTATTTTATGATGTTCTACAACAGGTTAAAACACAATCAATGGTAAAAAAAAATCATAATAGTGGCTTCTTCTGGGGTGTTGAAAATGTTCTTTCAATATTGTATTAGAGGTGTGGATTACATGTCTACATGCATTTATCAAAACTATGGACATTATTATAAGTAAATGTAAACTAAAAAAACCAAAAATTGAAATCTAGTTCATAATGACAGGCATGCTAAAGTGCTTAGAGGTAGAGACCTCCCTGGTGGCACAAGGGTTAAACACAGCGCTGTCAAGCTACTGCCAGCCACTACATCACGAGTTCGATCCCTGGCTAGCCAGGGAGCTGACCCACATAGCACAGCAGACCTCTCCTGCCTCACCCACTGCTCCCCTCAGCAGTGTATTTTAATAGATCTGCCTGTTCTGCTCCCCACTCTCTCTGGTGAATCCTCTCTAGTGAGTGGCTTACACCCTATTTCTTGTGTGCATAAATACATAAATGTTTTAAAAAAAATACAGTGTTTAGAGGTAGAGTGAATTCTGCAACTTCTTTGAAATGCACCAAAAAATAAGATGGATGGGTAAAATTGTGGAGGGATAGATGAATGAATAAACATATGACAAAGCAAATACAGTGAACTGTTAACTATTGTAGAATCTAGATGATGGATAGATGGATGTTCACTGCACATTTCTTTCAACTGTTCCATATATTTGAAATTCTTCATAATGAAATGTTGGGGGAATGAGGGGGCCTGTGCACAATCAAAATGCAGTCCATTTTCATCAGGCTTGGTTTGTAACCCTTGACTCACTCACAGACATCTCCGTCTCCTATTAGTCCCTCTCATTTGCTCTACAAACCTGCATTGTTTTATTTCTAAAATCCCTCTCTCACTACCATCCATTCCATTATTCCCCCTAATTGAATTCCTATCCCTTCCCCACTATTTACTTGCTGCTTGACCTGACCTCTCTCAGCTTCTGCTGACATCTGGGAATTGTGATCACATGTCTTTTTTTATCTAAAGGTAACGTTCTGGACTATTTAATCTTGTAAGATTTCCTCCTTCCTCAAGCCATGAGCTTTTCAAGGCCAAATAGCTGGTCTTATCCATCCCTGCATTTCCTTTGGCATATAGTAACACTTCAAGGGTGC